CGCGTCTATGCCACTGTATATTCCCGATCTAATACCAGCGAGACCGTGGGCTGGTAGCTCAACTGTTAGGACGTTCGCCCTGACGAAAGAGATCGCGAGTTCAAATCTCGGTGTGGCAGTAATTTCAGCGGTCACACTGGGGTTGGGTATCACTAGCCGATGATGCCTAACAAGGCAGAAAAAGCCTTCCTAGTCTCCCCTGTCTTTGCTGGTAATGTCCTTCTAAATATATAAATGTATAAATAGACGTCTACGACTACAAACCCGGAAATATAATCGAATTCCGTAAAGTTGCGCTTTTTGACTTAGTTGGATGGCAAACTGAATACTTCCATAGCCTAAGCGGTCCTCTAGTTAGGGTGATCATTTTCAAGACAGCCATAGCGATTATAAGGTCTTTCATCTGTTGAAGGCTAAGTACATTCTTAAGGCTTTTGAATCTGTTTGAAGACTTTAAACGCCTGAATCTTGTAGCCTTTGCATGAGGCTAGGATCCTTTCAAGAGCTCAAAATGTTCGGACTAAAACCGCTATCGGTGGCATTATGTAGACGTTATGATACTATATAACATATAAGTAAAAAATATGAGGATGAGGGGCAAAGACATTACACACCGGTCGCGTATGGTCATTTTAAAGTTGTAAAAGTCGACAGGAATGGAAAAGGCTATTCTTACGATCGGTTGATGGAACGATGATCCTCTAGAATCCTATCCAATAACTTGTCTGCAATCCCTTCAGTGCGTTTCGTCAAGGCACGAATCAAATCGTCCGCGTGGACCTCAAAGAGGCCGAGTTGGATGACACGCCTTGACTCGTACTGGATCTTTTTGGTCAGCTGGATGTACTTGAGCAATTCTTGGGCGAGTTCATCGAACGACGGTCCAGACACTTCTTCATCTTCTTCGTCTTTTGCTGCTGGTTTTTCTTCCATAGATCCAATCTCGTCTTCACCCTCGCTGGGAGCGGTAGCTTCCGAGTTATCTTGGCTTTTTCCTGAAGCCTTTGAAGACAACTCTTCGGATGGATTTAGCATCCGTTCAATGTCCATTTCGGCCTAGAAAAAGGAGCATATTGTTTTCAAACAGTTTTCAGTCCCACAAATTGAGGCAAATGTTCGCATCCTAGGTATGTGTATAGATAGAGAAGGAGAAGGCGTTTCGATCAGTGGACAGACTGGACGCATGCTTGGTTCGCGCATACACGAACATAAGCTGGCTGTCAGACAGGGTGACGCATTGTCACAAGCGGCTGCCCATACCTACGAGACCGGTCACGAGTTTAACTCCGCAGCCGAGGCCGAGAATTGACTGAAGCCCGGGCCTCGGATGAGAACTCAGTCAATCGATTTATCGATCTGGCGCTGGCATGCCTCGCCCGGCGCAGGAATCTCCGGACTGACGGCACTGGTGGTTGATTGGCTCTTTCTATCCTCCCTCCCCCTATAACAGTTGATTGGTCGCTGCCTCCTATAACTATTGCTTGTTTTCCGTTGACGTTTTTACCTCTGACGCTGAACTTCAGTAAGAGCCCGAAAGCTCTGACGAATAAATGATTCCGGTGATCGAAATGCCTTCTCCTTCTCTATCTATAGTTTTCAGTCTTTATCCTGTTTCACAGCTGGATGAAACTCCGCTGAGAAGGCGAACACTGTCTTTGGCGGGTAATATTTCAGAATGACAGTAAACTATAGCAACACTAAATGAGAGCGTAAAGATGACTGCCAGTCTTGCTAGATTATGTATATATGACGAGGGCAAGTACCTGACGACTTATCAGGAAGTTATATTTGTCATACTGCGACAAATGTTGCTGTGGACCTCGAGACTCGCGCTTGAGCATTGCCAGAATCCGGTTTTTGTGCATTTCAAGAAATTCCTCCAGAATCACGGGATGCAAGCAGACATTGTCCCCACCAGCCGCTTGCTGCAGGTTAAAAAATCAAAAATCAAAATGGTGCATTAGTAAAGTGGCTTTTGAAATACGAAATTAGATAAGCGTAAATAACAAAACTCTCTTCCAGGGCCGCCTAAATATAAATTTCCACCGCCCAACTGTCTTACAAAATTGGTGGTTAAACATGTAATTCTTTGTTAACGAGTGTAAATGTAAATTTAATTTGAGTTGACCCAACTGTGAAAAAACTCGAGGCGTTCGGCGGGATTTGAACCCGCGTATCAAAGAAGGCCTTTAGCGGAAGCCGAAACTCTAACCACTAAGATACAAACGCCCCACCTCGTGCCATGAATTTAATCACAC